AGAAGATTGAAACTTGGGAAGTGAGTTCCCTCAAAGACTTAAGTGAGAGTCTTACGCAGTGTTTGGTTCGAGGGAAATTGAGGGGAGGAGAAGGGAGGGGAGAGAATTTTTTAATTTTCTCTTGTTTGGTTCAATTTTTTTGTAGGGGAAGTGATTGGGATTTTCCCTTCAAATCCCTCCTCCAAGGGAAAATCTTCTCCCCTCCAAATGTGGGGGAATTTGGAGGGGAGGAAAAATTTTTAACAACAAAATACTATTTTGACCTTATTATGGAATTATTTTATTTTTTCGTTTCTTACATCATTAAGGACATAACTGTCATTTTTACAATATTTTCTTTCGCTTCCATTTTTCTAACCAAACAAGGTTTACCATTTTCTCACCTCCTATAAAATCTCTCCGAATAAGGTAAAATTATTTTACCCAAACCTCCCTTCCATTAAAATCCCTCCCCTCCATTTCCCTTACTTGAACCAAACATACCCTTAAGTTAATTTTTAAAAGTAAAGCAATTCTACAAGTTTTGAAAGAAGAGGTTTCACTGTAGCACCTTAAAAGAGCTTATATGTTTTAAAAAATCAAATTAAGTCGAAATTTTAGAGTTTTCAAAAGATAAATATGAAGGCGCTACATTGTGTTTACTATTTATAACTCTGATAATTTGAGGTTATCAATCCATGCACACATTGGTGAAGTTAATATATTAAAAAAATACATCAGCAATGTGTACATACTACATAAACGGTTGATATATTATTAACATATGTCAACCGTGGGTAGGGGAACATCTCCCTCAATCCATCAACCTATACATGAACCAAACACTAGTTTCTTGTTTTTATTATTATTTCACATATATATATTTTATACATGACACGAGTCAACACTTGAAAATCCAGATTTCCAGGAAAACAACAAAAATAAAATAAAAAAGAAAGAAACCAGAAGAAATTAAAAACCAGCAGCAGGCAAGCATACTAATTAACGGCGGAGCAAACGGTGCGAATTTCACCGTCAGTCCCCGTCTTCACCTCAACATTACTCATCTTCACCATCGACCTCCCAAACTCCACCCCGAAGGTCAGTCCCAGCAAACCCCTGACTCCAAGAAACCGCTGGACCACGGTCCGGGTCGAGTTATCCGCCCAAAGCCTCTGGTCCGACTCGAGGACCCCACGCCCAGCCCTCAGGTTCGCGAAGTACGAATTGTCGAACCGGTTCTCGCTCCCGTTGTCGAGCCCGACCCGGACTGACCCGTTCCCGCCTTCCGGGCAGAGGTTTCGGAGCGTAGGGAGAAAACTCGGGTCGATGGACGGGTCGGGCCCTCCGTTTGACGTGAAGCTGTACAGCCTGTAGCGGAAGAACTGGCAGGCCGAGGTTCCGATCGTGTGACCCCCTGAGACGGGATTACTTGATTAATTCAATCGCTAAATGCGAATTAATGATGGATTAATTAACTAATTACCAACAAGCGCGACAAGATCCTGGGTGTTGAGACCTTTGTCTTGGAACTTTTGGATCTGGACATCTACGGTGTCCGTGAAGCCTGGTAAGTTTGAAGCATCGCTCGCCAATGAGACCCGACCATCTCGACGACCTGTCGGGACGGCCCACCCGACTCCTCCAGCCTGCATCAACGTACAATCATTAATTAATTAGTTACATTATGCTAAAATTCACATGCTAATTACACATTAAACTTACAAGCACGACAGAATCACGGGCGGCAAGGGCAAGAATGTCCGCACAAGAGACAATCCTGGGGCACAAAGCCTCCAGCTGTTGCTTGGCATCGTCTATGACCTCGTACCCTCTGAGCAGAAGATTGGGGCCCGCAGTCCTTTCGGTGGATGGGCCACTGATGAGTATTGACCCGTCACAGCCATGGACAAAGCAGTCGTGAAAGTGCATCCTCACCAAACCGGGCCCGATTGCCCGGTTTGAACTGAAATGCGACCTGACGGTGGATTGAACTATGGATTCGGCCCGTGGGCAGGTTCGGGAGTAGAAACCGACCCTCGTGCCCTGTCCATTTGACATAGACACTAGACATGCTAGCACGATCCATAGCTGATAATACAAGTTATGGATCTTCATATTTAACTTCTTTAAGCTAGTAGTTAGATTGTTACTTGATTGAATTTGTGTGGTATGTATGTATATATGTTGTTATTACTACACGTTTGAGTGTGTGTGTTTTGATGTTTTTTGTTTTGGTTGATATGTATGCATGGTGTAAGGGGTATTTATACGTGCGTGGGAAGTAAGCGGGTTAGGGGAGGGTCAACTCATAGGCTGGAGAAGGAGAACACAAAGTAAGAAAAGCCGGCTACAAGGCAACTTAAGATTAGATGGCTGTTGCTTTACTTTCTTTTTATTTTATTAGGGTGATTTTTTTTTTTTTCAAATTTGATTGCATGGTGGAATTTTGCCCAACATTTGAGATCAAACAATGTTACCTTTTATTTATTTATTTAATTTTTTCCAATGTTTGTGGTGTCATTGTTGATACAGTGCCTAGATGTATTGTACGTAGAAATGGAAACAAACTAAGTCGAACTCCGTCAGTAAATGAGCTGAGCCAAATTTGAGATTCTGATACTCAAAGCTCGGGTATGAGCGTTTTGTTGAGTCGAATTGTATATAAATATTAACGATCAGAACTTGAACTTTAGCGAGTCGAGTTACAGAAAATTACATAAAAATTCATATTTTTGAAGACTCAACTCATTTACTAAACAAGCTCGAACTCGACTAAGTTGATCCAAAGTCAAGTCTTAACAATTCGATACGAATTAACAAGTAACTCGTTTCATTTAACAACTCTAATGATATAATATGTAGT